CAATCAAAAGTTACAATAAATTGTAATAAATTTGAAACATTAAATATTTACTCTATTTCAATATGAATACCAAAGTTATAAATTTAAGATATTTAAAATTATAGTCATCAAGTAATTAGCAACAGAATGGTAGAATATGAAAATCACACCGATAATTTCTAGTATTGCAAAGAAAAATGAAGGGAATGACGATAACGATGGTGGCGCATCTAAAGTAGAAATAAGGTGAATAAAATAGGAAAGGAAATATTTGTATTTCTGCAGAAAGTGTATCAAATGCATTATTTGTTATATGTCGCAGTATCAATAAATTTAAAAAACCACACATTTCTTTGATATAGACATTTTTATAGATAATAGAATATTAATTGAAAGTTATAAATTCCGTTAAGAACAACTTTTGCATTATTTAGAAAATATTATTTATCTGTATTACAGATTTGATGCAATGTTTCCCCCCCCCTTCTCAAACCTCTTGCTTGCTCACGAAATTGTTATATTACGATACATTCGCATTAGATCTTACCGCCTCTCTTGATAACTGTTTAGTAGGTTTGAATGCTGTCAATATTTACGTTTAAATAGAAAAACTGTACGTCTCTTTCTTCGACCACTTCCATCAGGCACTTTTCGACGAAATAATGTTCACATCCTCAGTTAAACGCGTTCTATCGTACAGATCAGACACAATGTCTTGGTTATCAAAAACTCTAAATTTGTCCTGGATAGAAGAAAACTATGTACAGAAGGAATCCAACCACAATTTTCAAGTAAAATGTAAAAGTTGCGAAAGTCATATTAAATACGCGAAAGTTGATGCGTTTAAGGAACACATATTTCATAAGCATGAAGATGAACTTAACATGGAACGCGAAATGCAACATAAGCATGATATGTGGAAATATTTTTACCTAACAAAGAGAGGGATTATAAGATGTATTGTATGTAAAAAAGCGTATTGTGGAATAACGTTTTCAAACTATTCCTTAGAACATCACTTATCGAAAGATCATAAGAACAAAAAAGATCTAAAGCCCTATAGTTTACAAAGTTTGTTTTGGAAATACATCGACGCAGAAGAAGTTACTAATTTTTACGGAAAATGTACGCTTTGTGACAAAAAAATGACACTTCAGTTTACGTCTGAGTATTTATTAAATCATCTCAAAATACATTATATAAAAGTACCACGCAGTAAACGTAAACGATACGCACAGAGTTGGAAATATCAAAGCAAAAAGTTGTGGTGGTTGGATAAATTTTTTACAAAAGCTGAAGAGGATTTCCGAGCAAAATGTGAGATTTGTGAAAAAAATTATGTATATATTCACACTTGCACGATTGAAAACCACGTAATCAAGCATAAAGAAATTTACAATTATGAAGAATATATGAAGACGACGAAACAAAAGAAAATAGGCTGGAAAAGTATGAGATTCATAGATGATAATGCAATTGAAATAGAATGTATGGTATGTAATGAAATTCTGCCAGATGAATCCTTCATAAACAACCATGAAATACATGATATGGAAAAGCTGTATTCCCGTACTTATTGGGGACTTAAATACATGAGACAACTTGGAGATTTGGCGAAATGTACGATTTGCAAAGAAGATGTAGGATTTAACTGGCATACGGGCAATTTAAAAGATCACGTATCAATTAAACATAAGGAGGATTTGAATAGAAGACAAGAAGAATTGAAACAAGGAACAGCATACGATCAAGCAGGAGCGTCCACAAGCCACGCAGACTAAAAGAAAAATAAACGTGAGTTTCATTCATATTTTTTATTAATTATTATTGTTATGACATTATATTTATTATTACATTTTATTCTTTGAGTGGTGTTTTTAATACATAAAAACAACAAAAATCAAGTAATCAATATTTGTTTCTGATATCTTATATATGTTTATATAGGTTTATCTTCATAGAGTTTGACAATTGGAAATGATGGTAGCGACACTTTTAAGTAGCATCTCATGGCCAGCTATAACGACAATCTTGACTTTGGCAAGTGATTTGAAACATATAAAGGCATTAGCGTATTTTGACTTATTTGTCGCATATTCGTTTTGTGTTTATATAAATGTACACAATTTGTTAATTTAAATATATATATTTGTAAATTTATGATTTAACACAATAAGTTAAATTTATAAAATTATAAATTATAGTTATTAATCTGAAAGATAATATTCTTTAAATTATGCTTCAAAGAATATGTGTTTGTACATTTATAAAAACTAAACCGATTTCGTGAATATAATAAACTTTTGCTATAGACGAATCTTCGAATGACGTACTCAGTACATACATAATAAAAATAACAAAAATTAGATAATTAGTAGTTGCTCGAAATATATCGAATCGCAGCTTAAAAGGATACAATGTTTACGTCACTCAATATTACAAGAAGGAACTGTGATTATATAGTTTGCAATCCGACATAAAAGTATTACTTTTTTGCACAATATTTTCATGAAAAAAGTAGACATCAGAACCCTTAGCAAATCACTAACACGATTACATTAAAAAGAATTGGAGGATTACGTATTTCGCAGTTGGGAATAGAAGTATTGCTTTTTTGTGCATAAGAAGACAGTATTTCCAAATCCATGTACGAAATGTATATTCCTAGTACTTCCTTTTTACAATGCTTGGGTAAATAATTTTTGAAGAGTTTGGACGTCTACATTTTATATGACTTTATGAAATGATTTTGAATTATCATGTAAATAATCATGTAAAAAGTAAAAATTTGAATATATTGGTAAATGCGCTAGAAACAAACATAATGTCCATGTTATTAAAGATCACTAAATAGCGGCTATGATAATTTTGTACAAAATTACTGAATATTCGAACAAATGTATATCTTGCGAAAATAAATATTGTTACATTAGATTTTTTAATATTCGTAAACATGTAGAAAAAAACCAAAATTTTTGAATACGAAGAGAAGAGAAAAGAATACGAATATTACCGTGGAGATGTTAATTATTTCAACAGATTATGTATACAATATATTATCTGTGCATATGTTCCGTTTAAACTTGAATCTTTAGTAAATAATGTATTAATACTCTACAGTATTACAAACATGTAAGAAATTGTATCATTTTATTATTTTAATGTTATGCGTATTTAAAAATTTTTTAATCTTATGATAGATGTTGTCTTAAAGTATTATGGGCATGTAGGAGATTGTATCATTTCATTATTTTAATGTTAAGCTTACAATTAGTTAAAAATTTCTTGATTAGAAATTTAATGTTATCTTTAAAATAATTCAAGCATGTAGTAGATTGTGTCATTTTATCATTTTAATATTATTTTTATTTAAAAATTTCTCAAATATGAAATTAATGTTGTATCTAAAGTAGATATTACAAGTAAGAGATTGTATCATTTTATTATTTTAATGTGACGCTTATTTAAAAATTTTGTTGATTTTATGATTAGTATCGTCTTATAGTATTATAAGCATGTAAGAAATTCTAACATTTTATAATTTTAATTTACGCTTGTTTAAAATTTTCTCGTTTACGAATTTAATGTTATCACTAAAATAATTCAAGCATGTTGCAGATTGTATTTTTTATCATTTGCGTGTAATTCTTATTT